AAATATAAACAAACATGTAGACAAAGGAAACAGTTTAGTGATTACCAAGGGAAGGGGGGTGGGAGATGGGCACGGGGGCGAAGGGGAGCACTTATATGGTGACAGACAAGAAATAATGCACCACTGAAATTTCACAATGATGTAAACTGTTATGAACTCAATTAAAAAACAATAAAAAATAAATTTTCAAAAAAGTTAAAGTTAACTTTCTGCTCTTTTAAATCAACTAACGAAAAGCTTGAAGAATCAAAAAAAAATGTTTGGATATACACAAAGTCTAAATTTGTTTTTTTTCCAGTTTTTCTTCATGCTCCTTCATCCTCTTCCTCTCTGCATATTGCCCTCTGCCCCTCTCTGGGATATTCATGTTAATTACCTAAGAAGCAGCCTTTCTTGCTGTTCTAGGGAAAAACATATTTTCTCATGTAATCTCATACAGACACACAATACATAATAAAATCATATTTTGGTTGTTTTCAATCATTATTTTATAAAATTAGGACCATGTTATGTACATTTTTCTGCATTTCTGTTTGCTCATTCAACTATGCCTCAGGAAAACATATCCAAGACATTTGTTAGAGCTATAATTCCTTATTTCACATGGATGAATATTTCCCATTCTGTTAATATATTAAGTATTTAGCAAATTTTCTATCAAAGCACGCTATATTTTTCTCCATCTTTGGCCATTAAATCATTTCTACATCAAACATGATTGTCCATTTGTCCTTATATACTGTTAGATTCTTTTCTATGGGAAAGATTCCTAAGAGTAACAGCTCTAGGTCGAGAAAATATGTCATTTTTAGTAGCCATTGCCATATTTTTCCCCAGAAAGCCTGTAATACTTTGAATTTCCTCCAGTAATCTCTGAGTAGCCTTTTACCTTCATTCTCATTAGCAATAGAATTCCATTATCCTTTTTCTTCCAATCCGGTGAAGAGTTTTATCGTTACTTTAATACAACCTTCTCTATTTGAGAATTTTGTCATATTTTCTATACCTATTGGTCATGTGGATTTGCTGTTCTCTATATTGTCTATTCCTATAATTTGTCATTTTCCTATTGGGCCATTTGTGGGGTTTTTTTTTTCAAATTTGTTAAAAAATTGTTTTTTCTATTTAATAGATCCTTATCTTTTTCAGAATTATAAATAAATGTCTTCCAAATCTACTCATCTGGAAAAGAAACTGAAATGAATTTGCATATTATAGGACATAAAAAATAAATATTTCTTCTGGCAGGATTAGAGACGCTAATATAAAAAGAAAGAAAAATTTAAATCTTGCAAGAGTATATACACAACCTTGAGTTGAAGAGAAGCTTAAGGAATCAAGCCTAGAAATATAAAAAACCATGAAAGAAAAGATGGATCTATTGTCTCTATATTAATTTTTTAAACTGTTTTACGTGAAATGTATCATAAACCAAATTAACAAGAGATTATCTTAAGGTAAATTAAATAGAAGTCTATTTTCTGATATGGAAATATAGAAATATAGAGAATGCTACCAAAGGTTTGGTAACATGACCTCAGATGGATTCTTAGAGAATTTACACATGGAATAAAGAATTCCTTCCTGAAAGAAGTGGCTTTAGAGAAGTCAATGAGTAGTTTACAAACGAATACTAATCTCAATTCAATAGCACAAAATTCAAACTCTGTTTGATGTTTTAGTCCCCACTGTCCTTCCTATTGTCTTAGAGTTGTTGAAGATTCATTCCCTGGAGGAAGAGTTTGCTGAGCAAATCAACGGCAAAGAGGAATATCACTTCAGAGATCTCCTCTCTCCTCCCATCGGGTATGCGGTGAATTACTATAAACTATGGGGGAAGAGTTTGCAATTTATTGTTTAAGATTTCTGCCAGAGACCAAAACCAACAGCAATAGTATTGATAGAGACAGTGTGCCATACTTTGATCCATTTTGCGAAACTGGTTGGAAAAAAACCTCTGAAAACAGCAGTGGATGCCCTAATTCCAAGTGATGTGATTCCAGAACACCACATTCTGGCCATCTGTGACACCGTCATTCTAGTTGTGTCTGAATGGAGACCTCATGACTTGCCATAAATTGAGTGTAATTAAAAGAAGTTGAATGAATTTCATCAAACCAGTTCTACAACTAAATAATATATGATGACATTATTGTATCTGTGAACTTTAAATTAGCCTTATTCGAATTCAAGGCTTCTTGGATATAAAAATAAATTGAGCTATCACCAATGCTTAAAATGGAGGTAAGTAGAACACATTTCAAAAAATCACTATGCAAAATCTGAGTGCTTTAAGCACTCAATTCATGTTCTGTATATGTTTTAAATCTAAGCAAAGACAAAATTATCTGCTAGGAAAAATCTGATTCATTCAGCTTCAGCTTCTATGAATATATAAATATATACACTCTTCATATATATATATGTGTATTATATATAATGTTATTTTGAATGTATTTGTATTCTCTATGGGAAATAAGAACTTTATAGCAGGTCAGTTTTAGGTTCTAGTCTTCAGTCTGCTACTTACCAGCTCTAGGACCTGGGGAAAGTAACTTCTCTGAACATATAAATTCAGTTTCTGCTCACAAAATTAATCTTTCATGAACAGGAAAATTTCCTTTTACAAACTTTCTTGTATTGCTAAGCTAGGTTACAATGTATCAGCTGTGACAATCACTCTTATCGTTCATCCTTATACTCCAGCAAGAAGACGGTATCTATGTGAAACTTAGAAGTCTATGTCATAGGGATATGAGATAATTTGAGAAAACCTAAAAGTAAACAGTTTTTATGCTGAAAGGAAAATATCAACCCCATCATGTTACAGAAGATAAAAGTGACATCCAAAACTTTTAGCTAATTTGTCCACTTAATGACTCTCTGGCAGATTTGGGCCTAAAACTCTTGTTACCTCTTCTGTCTTGATACTCTGTCCATAGTGCAGCTTACAAAGATGCTTCCAAGGCTCTGTTGAACCTTCTCTTTTTGAATGTTCAAGTTCAGATACGGAATGAGAGAATTCAATAGAGAGATGACAGACATAAGGTCAATCAATATACAGGTTTAAAAGGCGGTGATGACGTGTATTCATCTAGGCAAGTATTCTAAACTATGGGTTTAGAAATTTTAGAAATATAGTAGAACGTTTAAAATGTGTAAGAGTAACAGAAACAGAATACAAGAGAATAAGCAAAGTTGATACTTTAGAGTCAATAAACTTTCAGGCAAGAAAACTGAAAATCACATGTATACATATAATTCTGTCAATTCTAAAATGCCATTAATTGCAAGATTAGTAGCTTTTGATTATGACAGCTTTTTGACAAGATGCAATATCACATTAAATGTGTGCATTGATTGCTTGACCTATCCAAATATCAAATATATTAAAATATGAATAATGGAGTTCAGAGAATTTACTTTACACATACAGAGGAACATTTTCCCTGTATAATATGCGCATTTGCCTGTAGGTATGTGTGTGTGCCTGCACATGCCTATAAACACACTTGTCAATAGTTTTTCAGCCAATTAGATGCAAAATGCCCCATCATCCTTTAGAAAAGTTCCTTACAGATTCAGACTTGATGTTAAGAAAGTATGAAGTTAAATTTCTTTTAAAGGTTTGTACCCTCGGGGATCAAAGTCTTAAACAAAAGCAATGCTAGTCTGAGAGCAGGGTACAGACAGTAAATTGGTGAGTGGGGAGATTTTAAACAATGTATTATGAGAGTAATGTCTGCTTATTAAAAATTAGAAAGAAGAAAAACAGGTAAACTTACAAATAATGCCTCGTTTACTCCTACTCCTCCCCATTTCCCAGGAGTAGTACTTCCTTCTCTATTCTTCAGCGTAACTTTTGATTATAAATTAGTACTTCTCTCTGTATGTATATATAAAAATATGCTTTATTTCTTTTTTAAATTGAGGGTATCATGCTTTACAAATGTTCAATATCTGCCTTTTTTCATGTAAACATACATTTGAACATCATCTCCCAGCTGTATCTTTGACTATGTATCTCAGATTTCTTAGATGAGAGCAAGGGGACATTTTTTAGGGGACTAACAGTTCTAGAATAAGTTCAACAAAATTAAAAGACATTGCTAACGTTTTGATGAACATGAGTTATAGTGAAGAATGTATATTTTCATACTGATAAAATAATAAAATAATTTAGAGTGTTCTGTTAAGATTTCTTTGGAATGAATACATTTCAGCAGGTAGAGTTGACAGATTGGTACCTCCAGAAAATGCAGGGCCCTTAATAGCCTTTGCCCAAAGCACTCCAGAGTTCTTGCATCGATACCACTATTTACAAATGAGGAGCTTGAAGATCAGAGGATAAAAAACACTCCCAAGGTAACGCGATTATGTAGGCAGAGTAGACATATGAGCCCAGGCCCATCCACTTCAAATTTCATGTTTACTCCATAAATAATCCTATAAGAATTCTGAGTTTCCAAAAGAAAAAGGATATATCTGTTTAAATTGTGTCTGATAACTTACTAGATTCTGTCTACATTGTTTTTTTCAAGAGGGGGAGTAAGATTTAAACAATTTTAACAAATTCATACAAACAGGTAATCTTATTGGCATTAAGGAGAAATTAGAATGAATTCAAGTGACAGGAACTGTGTCTATGTCTACCTAATAGTAGGGATCTAGGTAGAAGGAAATGAGAACAATGAACTTAGAAAATAACAAAAGGTCAAAACAAAACAAAAGGTCAAGGGTCAATTCTGTGAATGTGGAAACTGGCGATATGCTTTAAAATTTTTAAATTCATTTTGCTCACGTGCTATTATACAGAAACACTTTTGAAATACTTGGAAAGATATTTATTTTGTTATCAATACATTTTTCACATTATTAATAGCATCAGTCTGTAAATCTATGCAAATTCTTGGCAAAATGATTATAACTGACAATAAAGAAATATGTTTATGAACTCACTGAGTTTATATTTCAGGGAACCAAGAGTTGAAGCATTTAACATGAATCAGGTAAATGAGAGTGTCCCACAAGAGTTCATCCTCTTAGGCTTCTCAGATAGACCGTGGCTGGAGCTTCCACTCTTTGTGGTATTCCTGGTTTCCTATATCTTGACCATCTTTGGCAATTTGGCAATAATTCTCATGTCACGTCTGGATTCCAAACTCCACACCCCCATGTATTTTTTTCTGACTAATCTCTCACTCCTGGACCTTTGCTATACCACAAGTACAGTTCCACAAATGCTGGTAAACATATGCAACAGCAGGAAAGTAATTAGTTATGGTGGCTGTGTGGCCCAACTTTTCATTTTCCTGGCCTTGGGTTCCACTGAATGTCTTCTCCTGGCCGTCATGTCCTTTGATAGGTTTGTAGCTATTTGTCGCCCTCTCCATTACTCAGTGATCATGCACCAAAGACTCTGCCTCCAGTTGGCAGCTGCATCCTGGATTAGTGGCTTCAGTAACTCAGTATTGCAGTCCACTTTGACTCTTCAGATGCCGCTTTGTGGCCATAAAGAAGTGGATCACTTCTTCTGCGAAGTCCCTGCTCTGCTCAAGCTGTCATGTGTAGACACAACAGCAAATGAGGCTGAACTATTCTTTATCAGTGTGCTATTTCTTCTAATACCCGTGGCACTCATTCTTATATCATATGCTTTTATTGTCCAAGCAGTGTTGAGAATAAGGTCAGCTGAAGGTCGACGAAAGGCATTTGGAACATGTGGCTCCCATCTAATTGTGGTGTCACTTTTTTATGGCACTGCTATCTATATGTATCTGCAACCACCATCCCCTGCCTCCAAGGACCGGGGAAAGATGGTGTCCCTTTTTTACGGAATCATCACACCCATGTTGAACCCCCTTATATACACACTTAGAAACAAAGATGTAAAGGGAGCATTTAAGAGGTCGATTGCAAGGGTCTTCTCAATCAAGACATGGGAATATCCAAATAATAGGCCTCGTTAAAGACTTGAAGTTTACTTATTTTAAAAATGTAATTCTCTCCACATTGCTTTATTCTCACTACTCTTAGAACTATAATGGCGATCTTCCTCAAATAAAATGTTATTGATAGAAAACTACATTTATTTTCTACTGTCTAAATATATTGATTGCACAAGTCCTGAGAACTGGTCTGTTATGACCCCCTAAAATAGTGTAAACTTACAAGATCTCAAGCTTTATACCACTGGTTGGTACACTTGGAGAAGAGTCTTAAACTTCTGTGAGACCATAAAAAAAGCTGAAGAAACAAAACAATTTTATACACATGCAAATGCATTCACACACCATGAACTTTTTTTCAACTGTAGGAGTCTAACAGAAGTCCCTAAAACCATCTGTACTCCCCTCCTCTTGATTATAAATATAAGGTCCATAGCCCTAGCTTAAATTTTTAACACCGTTCCCACATCAGCGTAATACTAAAATCCACAATGATTTTTCCTCCACAGTTTTGCCTAGACCTTTCATTCTCTTGTTTGTATATTTTCCACTCCCAAATTGAAACATGCTATTCTATTTTATCTACCAGATAAAATTGTAGCTACATTTTAGACCTGAACCAAATCTGTGTTTTTTGAAAATGTTTCTCATGATTCCCCTATTGTCTGTGTTATTTCTCTCCTTTTAACTCCTAAAGCACTTAGAGTTTAAATCGTAAAAATAGCACATCATATAATGATTTCCATTGCTTGTTTAATGCATTTTTCTTGTGCAAGAAGAACAACTTATTAAGTCCCTTTTTGTTCCCTTGAGGTAGCATAGACTGTAATTTGTACTTCTTCCATGTGGCCTTCAGAGCTCACCAAAGTGCTAAGGAAAAAACACACTGAGTTGGTTATTTTGTTGGTTTTATGATTTGTCACACTGTAATCATTTTAACTGTTTTCTTCACTATCCTTTTTCGCATTTTTTTTCTTCTGCTAAATATATTGCAAAAGCAGAAAATACAATAACTGAAATATACAATACACACATTTCTCCTTAAGACCTTACAGAAACAACAGACCTTGCTGCCTCAGTGTAATTCTAACACAACACAATGGATCTTGAAAGTTTAACGTGCATCAGACTCACCTGAATGGCTTTTAGCATTCATATCATTGAGAGTCACCCCACCCCCACGTCCAAAGTTTCTAAGGCAGTGGGGGCAGGGAGGGCTGGGAATTTGCGTTTCTAATTTCTAATTGAATTAATGCTGACAAGGGCCCACACTTTAAAGACTGCTATGCTAATAATTAAAATAAATAAAGATGCCTTGTTGAGTTCCTATCTTTTATCTTTATCAATGACAATTATCATTAAAGGGAAAATAAAAACAAACACTGAAAGAGTGCATTGAAATTTGAGAGGACATTCCCCAATGAAGAAGTGTTCATATTTTGAAATCCAAATAAATCACATACTGGACATCCAGAGATATATTTTGATGTGATCAAAGTCAGCGTCAGTGACCGTTAAAGAATTGTGAGAAAATAGCAATGAAACTAGAGTACTGGAAATCAAGGTATTTTACATTTTTTAAAATGATCCACTAATTGATTCAACTTACCACATTATTTACTGGGAAGTTTTAAAATGATTTTAACAAAATTCTACAAATATTTTACTATCAGTTGCTTTGAGATTGTTTTTTAAATGTAATATATAAAAATATATGTTATATATAATTATAGTGTTTTATATATTTTTAAATATTTTAAAATATGTTTTAATTATTAAATATATTATTTGATGTACTATGTTATTTATTATTTAATGTAATATACTATTTAATATATTATTTAATGTACTTGATATATTATTTAAAAGTATACATTTATTATATATATTATATATAACTAGAATCTACTCTGGATTCATTTAGGTCAACAAATAATAACCTCACTTTGTCTATTTTTATAGAAGTACTAGACTGAAATAGTAAGGAAATGTTATATATGTATAATACATCTCAATTTCTGAGAAGAATTTGAAAACAATTACCATCATATAGTTTTGTATAATATGGAGCAATAATGACTAAGATGGTAAAGTAGTTCTATTTGTTCTTATCTGCTTGTAAAACCTTCACTCAAAAGGCAATTGATAAAATGTTATCACTCTGGAAGGAAGGTACTATTGTTACAGGACTTATATTTTTTCACCCTACTAGAATATACACTTATCAATAACTTGTATGAACTTAAAGATGACGGGCATAATAGACCAAAAGAGACACTAAACTGAGAGAAATTGATAATTCTATAGAAGTCAGAAATAAAGTTTAAAAATAAAAGTAATAAAAAATGAGTGAAATTTAACATAAATTAATACTGTATAAATTAATATAATTCATATTCTATACTACAGGATAGTAGAAATATGACTCACAGTGAGTTCTATAAAATCTCAGCTGAGAACATACTGATGGTAAAACATGTTGATTTTTAGAGGCTGGCCCTGTGGCCTAGTGGTCAAGTTCAGTGTGCTTTACTTCAGTGGCCTGGGTTTGGTTCCTGGGCTTAGACCGACCCCACTCATTGGTGGCCATGCTGGGGCAGCAACCTACATACAAAATAGACTAAGACTGGCAACAGGTGTTTGCTCAGGGCAAATCTTCCTCAGCAAAAAATAAATAAATAAAAATGCATATTTTTGGCTTCAGTTCTAGAATTCACATTTTAAGAGATACATTGTAGAAATAAAATGCTTCTGCAGAATAATGACCAGAGAATTGAGGAATCAGAACATCATTCCTCTTGATGAATTATTGAAGACATAGATTTGTTTAAACAGAGTAGAAAATGTTTTGACAAAGCATGATACAATAGTTCTCTTCAAGTATTTAAAGGGCAGTCATGCACAGAGTATAATTTGTTCCATAAAGTTTAGAATTCCTACTAATGGGTAAAAATAAAACAGATTTTAGCATGATATAAGAAAGAACTCACCAAAAAATTAACATTATACCATGATGAAATAGTTGAACACTTCTGGCGATGTGGGAAAATAGAAACCTATATAAAATAGAGATCAAATTAAATAATCTATCTAACACCTTCTCTCTTTAAATTCTGTTTAGGAATTTCCTATAGTTAAATCACATTTGCCATAACTATTTCTGTTAATGACCAAAGGAACAAAAACAGACATAGAGAAAGTGATAGATATAACCAAGCCAAGTTTGGGGAAATGTCATGTAGAAGAAATTGAGTTGATTCTTGTGGCTTCTGAGGAAGGAGCTAGGCAGAAGTTTCTCTGATTCAACATATGAAAGTCAACACTGGAAAAAATGGAATAGCTTGAATCGGTAAATATCTCTGTGGAGATATAATTTTCAAATCCTGGAGGGAAGTTGGACTACATGACTTGTAAGATCCTTTTTAACCCAAAAAGTCTACAGCTCTGTCAATAACAGTATAGGAGGGATTTGGTTAGATATAAAAAATAACTTCCTAAAGATAAAATTTGTGATATAGTGAAATATTTAAATAAAGGTAACAAGGAAGTAGTCAACTGTATTAGTTCCCTAGGGCTGTCATAACCAATTACCACATAACTCATGGCTTAAAACGACAGAAATTTATTGTCTCACAGTTCTGGAGGCCAGAAGTCTGAAATGAAGGTGTCATTGTTGTCATACCCCCTCTGGAAGCTGTGGGAGGTAGGGAAAAGATCTGCTCCTTGCCTTTTTCAGTTTCTAGTAGCTGCTAGACTGCCTTGATATTCCTTGACTTGTGGTCACATCGCTCTCATCTCTGCCTCCACTTTCATATCTCTTTCTCCTCTGTGTGTGCCCCAGTCAAATCTCCCTCTGCCTCTCTTATATACATATGACGGCATTTAGAGCCACCCAGGTAATCTAGGAAAAACTCCTCTCCTCAAGCTGCTTGACTTAATCACATCTTTTGCCACATAAGGTAACATTCACAGGCTTTAGGGATTAGGAGGTGAACGTATCTTTGGGGAGAGTCATCATTCAACTTATTACGCCATCTATAACCTTCAAGACTATGTAGCCCGGCATCCCCTGAAGAAAGGAGGATAACGTTAACTTTTAAGAGGGGTTTTTTTTTAGATTCTTAAGCAAATTAGCAAGAAGCAAACTTTATTCCTACTGCTGGCAAACTCACTATCTTATTATCATTAGAATTTTTAAACTATATACATTTTCCTCTTTAAAACCATAGAACAGACAGATTATATTTTTTCAGTACATACATTGAATTGGCCATTGGGGAAAAGTTGGTGGAAAAATAAAACTCTTGTGCAGATATGAGAAATTAATATAATTGATATTGTTTTTAAAAGTTTTATGAACATTAGAATCATATAGATAGCAGTTATTAAAAAGATAATAGAATTTGTGTATTTGTGTATAATTTAAACATAGACACAAAATACACTGTTGTATTTACACTTTCACTTGTCTCCATTATGTATGTTAATAATAACAATCATAGTCACTGTAGGGACCTGGAATTGGCCACACCAAGATATGTGTCTTTGGCATCAGGATTATTTGAGGCTGATTGCTTTTGATAAACTGGGACAGGGAAGGAGGCTCTGAGGAATGGAACTTGCCCTTTGTTAGGACACTTACATTTGTAAGGTAAATCTCTATCTGTAAAAGGTGCCTCCCTCTCTGTACTAGGAAGAAGAAAGGAGATGACCTTCTCTCTAGAAACTCTTAATCAATACCAAAGGCAAGGACTTAAATCTGCATTTTATTGTGCTTCTCTGGTAACCTCCTGTAACTGACTTCCCTCCCCCTCCCAACGTTGGGCTCTCCTTAAAGATTAAGCATCTTTTTTTCAGGCTGGGAACCGATTATGGCTCTCATCTGTGACCCCCCCAGCCTGAGGCAACACACCTGCCATCCTGAGGCGTTCACTGGGACAGCAGACCTATCTGTCGTTTCCATCCAGCGCTGTGCTGACAGAGCAGCCTCGTGACTATTGTAAAAGGGACATTTCAATCAT